GCTCCCCCCCCGGTTTTCTTCCCCCCCCCCCGCCCCCATCCCCGAGCTCTTTTCCTCCCCAAAACTCCGCCGTTGGGGCCGTTACCCCGAAACCAAGGGCGGTTCGTGATTTTGTGCGCGATGATGCTCCGTTGAAAGATGTCACTTTTTTGGCATCCGGCGTCTTCAGAATATCCCAGTAGGTGTTTGGTTGGTTCGGGTTTTGTTGTTGCCTGAAATTAGGAGGTCTTGCGGGGGGGAGGGAGGAAGAGAGGGGGGGGGAGGAGGACCAGCAGAAAAAGAGTGAGCTTTTATAAACTTCACGCAGTGTTTGTCATGTGAAATCTTCAGCTGTTGAGAAATAATTCTGAGTAACCAGATGGGCTTATTTTAAATGGGCATCTTTTTGTCTCAAAGACGTCTGCAAATCTCCATTGAGAACACCCCTGGATGAGGTATGTACCGAGCCTTCGGTGGGAGAGAGCTCGTTACTGTGATTTCAGTTTGATTAAGTAAAATGGTGTCAGAAGATGAAGTCCATAGTTTTCCTTCTCTCTCTAAAATTATCATCACTGTTATTTGCTGTATGGCAGCGAATGATCTTATTAACAGTTTCGGCGTATGTTTTCTTCTTTCAGAAGATAAAGGGACATATATAGCATAGAGCCAGATAGCAAAATACTCTTTCTTGAGTATTTACAAGTTTGTGTTGTGTTTTTTTTAAAACGTAGTGTGGCTTTTTTAACCTGTTAAGGGTGTAGTAATGATTCTTTTTTTTTTTTTTTTTCCCTTAGATGTATCATCTTGTTTTCATTGTTATTGTTCACCTTTTCTTAAAGGAATATAGCGTTCTCTGTTGGGGGTGGCATGGCTGTTCACATGTACCAAGCTGACGGAAAGGATCAGAGTGATATTATTATGATATTTAATAACAAAACGTGCAACATTGCAAGAATTACTTGTCGTGCTTAATTCTTTTTGGAATACACTTCGTACCAACAGCCAGCGCAGGTTTTCAAGAAAGGAAAAAAAAAACAACTGTGACTATAGTAGGAATATTTATTATGCAGGCAGTGTTTATTAAATCAGCTGTAAAAGAAATGAACGTAACGTCTTTAAACAGTTTAGAAGATGAATGTGTAATTCCTGATTTGCTTGAGGTTAAAATTAGTTTTGTAGCAACCAGGAACAGCTTTGCTTTATTATCTGTTGGTCTTTGGAATGAGAGGCAGAACCATTTGAATAAAAACATTTTAAAGCAGAATTGATAAAAGCAATAATTGTTTGATTGAGCCAGCAGGCAGCTATTGCCAGGGAGAAAAAAAAAAAAAAGTTGGCTAGGTAAAGAAATCGACTGTTGGCTATGAATTTACATCATCGACCGTTCGGTGACACCTAAACCCACAGTAATGAAATCCAAATACCTACAAAACTCAAGGTGAAGCTGGAAGCAGGTTATAGTATGGTGAGGATGAGCCGGTGGGCGCCTTTGATCCTGGCTGTTGTTCTTTGGTGAATTATGTTGGCTCAGTTGCATAAAGGACCCCATTAAGGGCTTTCATGCTCTGCTGAAGGAATGGCAGGTCTTAGCCAATGCAAGCCTTTCTTTCCCTTTCTCTCTTCACAGGTTTCTGATTGGGCAGCAGAAGTTTAGAAATTAAATAACCTTTTTTTTTTTTTTTGAAGTCGTTTCTGACTTTCAGCCTTTAATGTGGCTGTCCCAAAGTGCAGCTTGCAGGCTGTCATCCCGCTGGGAATTTTGGTGCTGAATGTGTTACGTGCTAGAGAGGGCGAGCTGGGAGGATGGCTTTCCTTTCTATTGAGTACAGGTAGATAAGGAGATTAAGAACCAAGAGAGAACTCAAACCCATATATTCACTTAGTGTTGCCCAATAATTTTACAAACACGTTGCTGCTCCTGGTTCTGCAGGTCTCATGCACTGTCTGCCACTCACCTTGTTTCTCTACTTATGCACGTTTTAAGAGAAATTACTGTAACTCCTCTGATGCAAACTTTGTGACCTATCTCTAGTCATGCTGTCGGCTACCTAAATATCCACAGATTTAATTTTTCTCAACAATAATTGCTCTTCATTTCTTTGCGATTGTCTATATTGGCTTTGTCCGAGTCTCCCTCTGACCGTAAATGATTTTAGGTATGTTTCGCTGCAATTTCCCAAATAGGTTTAGGCTGTGTAAAATGATGAATGCTCTACAAAACCTCTCATCAACCATTTAAGTGAGAATTTAGAGGTTTTTTTCTCTTCTCTAGCAGCAAATTCACACAGTCTGCTGCTGATTTAAAATATGTGCTGCAGGAGACCCTAACACTGGGATTTGGCCAAGTTCAAAGCAGCTGTGCAGATGGACACAGAAGACAGAAGGCAGAGGGAAATAGACCCTTTTAATCATAACAAGGCTGCTCTTGTTTTCCTATCTATAGTGGAAGTGCATGCCAGCCCCTCGTACTTAAAAGCAAGCTTGCAAATGTGCCAGAATAGACAGCAACAGCATTTGTTATTAATGCAAAGTTGAAAATGTGACAACCTGTCTTCTCAGTACTGCTCTTTACATCTCCATTTCTAGACTGACGCTGTGCTGCTGCAGAAAGTGCACATCCATCCCATCGCTGGCGGTGGGATTAGAATTCCTCCTCCTCCTCCTCCCCCCCCTACCCAGAACTCAGGCTCTTTGAAAGTGCGTGGCTTTGTTAATGATCGCTGAAACCAGCCACGACCTGTCCTTTTGAAATGGTTATAATGACTTATAAATCAATTTCTCGTTAGAAAGAACTTCTTTTTTTTTTTTTTTTTTTTT